GAGGGCCAACAGCCCGAAACGCGTCCGTGGTTAGCTTTTCTTGATTAATTAAGAATGTGTATTTGGCCAATTCTGGAATAATTAAAAATCAACGAGAATAGTTGATATTTATTCCGATAGATGGCGCAAGCCATCAGCAATTTACAGTTGCACGATAAGTAGATACCTTTTTTCATATATTAATATTGATACGTGCTGTAAACATCTCAAAATTATTATTCTCATATTTAATTTTTCATAGAACTTTATTCCAATAATCATCATCACTTGGCATTGTTGACACGACGACTTTGTAAAAAAATGAGACGTTGGTTAAAAATAAAAACTAACGAGACATACATTCTTGATTATTTATTTCCTTTACATCAAAAATAGCTATAAAAGAAAAACTTACATACATCCACTACAATATGTAACATTTTTTTTCTTATACTAGCAAATTTACCCGGGCAACGCCAGGGTTTTAGCCGAGGGAAGTTTTCCTAGAGTGCGTATGTATAATTTTTTTTTCAAATATTATTCGTTACAATTATAAATTATGACCCGGCTTCACCCGGAATCTCCCCAGTGAATCTTTGCCCTAAGGATAATGCTTGGAATAAAGCACTTTATGATGTATAATAGAAATAAAAAAATAATGTCGAGCGTTCTAAAATATAGTAATATTAGAATTTAAAAATAAAAATATAAAATAGCATAAATATAAAATTTTCCAAAATAATCGATAGAAAGCTTTTACACCATATGTCATAAAATAAATAAAATATACAGTTATCAGCGTCATAATCAAGCAACAATTCTTAATTCTGTCACCGTTTGCTTTGTGAATGGAATAAATACACAAATATGGCCATTTCTCATAACCATCGGTGGTTCAGTGGTAGAATGCTCGCCTGCCACGCGGGCGGCCCGGGTTCGATTCCCGGCCGATGCATTTTTTTTTCACAATTTTTAAAACGCATTTATATATTATACAAGAATGACATCCACGGCGCCAATTTATAATTGTAACGAATAGTATTTGAATAAAAGCATTTAATCGGGTATAACCCGGGCGTTGCACGGGTCATTCGGCTAGTTTTAGTATAACTTTAAGATGTTGCTGAAGATATAAAATAAAAGTGTAAAGTTTTACAACGATATTTGAAAATTGTATTATTTTCATTTTTATATACAGTGGTACCTCGACATACGAGCGCCCCAACATACGAGTTTTTCGAGATACGAGCCGACGAGCAAGTGATTTTTTGCTTTTAGTTACGAGCGAAATTCGAGATACGAGTTCGGTTCGGTAGTAACACGCAGTCGCGCCATCACGATCAGTTAGCAGAGTGCTTCCGCTGTGATAAGTTGTGTTTTGTGTTCGAGTTTTGTGTTGCGTTTACATTTACAGTTTTAGTTCATTAATTTTTATAACCATGGATAGGAAGAAAGTTTGTAAAAAGTCAAGTGCTAAGAAAAAGATGATGAGTATTGAATTAAAACGTGAAATTTCTACAAGTGAGATAAAGGAGATCTTAGGAATGTGAGAGAGAGTTTCACAGTTCGTGGAAAAAAACACCCAGAAAAAGTTGCAACAGGTCGTGCATCTGACCTTTTTAATGACACTTGCCTAACTTATTTTCGGAACATTCTGAGAGGGAGGAAGAAACAAACCTCCTTGGACATGTTTTTTTCTAAACGGCCTACAGGTGAAAACGAGAAAAATGTAGCGAAAAAGGCAAAGACCAGTGAGAATATCTAATTTATTTCTTTACATTCTCTTTTTGTTTTTGTGCAATAAATATTTGATATTTATAAATACGTTTTTATTATTTAAAACCACGTAACAAAAATAACTGGGGTAACATTTTGCAGGTTGGAACGGATTAATGGTAGTTCAATTGTTTTGTATGGGGAAATTTGCTTCGAGATACGAGTAATTCAAGATACGAGCAAGGTTGCGGAACGAATTAAACTCGTATGTCGAGGTGTACCACTGTATTCATTTTTATAATGGAATATTAAATTCGGTATTCTTTAAATCGCTATATTTTAAATTGATTCATAAAAATGATTACGCATAATATTATTTCCACATATTTTTTAACTAACGCACAATATATAGGGTGCTCCAATTTTAAAATAACGATTCTTATTCTTTATTAAAAATAATTTACAAATGTTTGTACAGCTTATTGTTTTCTAAGTGTAAGCATTCACGTTTAGCAACAGCCCTGCATCGATTTTTCCAGTAAATATGGCTCGGTATTATATTATTTTGATCAAGACCATTCCAACAGTCCATAACGACTTTCCAGAGAACATTTAGCGTCTTTGGTTTTCTAGATATAATATTTCAGCAAGCCAAAAAAAAAAAAGACCCATAAGAATAAAGTCTAGGGATGTAGCAGGGATGTGCTCAAAAGGGATGTATGAAATGCCGGTTTCATCCCTCTTTTCGTCCAGGTATTGACGTGCTGAACGTGATGTATAACTCGTGGCTTTATTCTGGTGAAGCCACACACGAATCTTAAGTAACTTGGATACAAAAATGGGACCTCATTGTCGAATAATGGGTCTAAGACAAGTCTTTCGTAGATTTTCGAATTTATCTTTATATTTGAATCTACATTCTTTATAGGAAGCTTCCCATTGTAGCAGAAACCTGCAACGATCACGAAGCCCTTTGAGAAACGTTCTTTTCATTGCTTTACCCAGTTTTGAAAGGTGTTTATTTGAGAATTATAGTAGTAAATGGCACGGTGTTGGTTGCTATCATTGAGATAAACCCATGACGCGTCCAGTGTAACAACATTCTTCCATTTTTCACCTGCGAGGTACTTTTTATAATTGTAATAATTTGGGTAAACTAGTATTTCTCCTTGGAAAGTCTGAAAACGTAACCTTTTCCAAAATAACTTATAATTTTACGTATATCGTAAATTAAAAATTTTTTTTTTTCATGAAATATATTTTAATGCCTGTTCTTTTGAATAAATAAAATATTTATTTATTTATTTCATCTCAATTTGCAGGTGTTACATTCGAGCACAGCTCGCGAGTCACCTTGTCCAGATTATTTACACATGGCGAGTTGTAATGCTGGAGTGGTCCCCCGAACCTTACAGGAGGGCAGTTGTTGGGTGTTTGGCTGTCAGCTAGCCATTGGGTCCAGGTCGTCGGATTCGGTGGCTGAGGTCACCTTGATTTTGAACAATTTCTTGTATAGTTGGATTTGATGATTTTTGAAATTGCGAGAATAGTCTTGTTGCAGAGTCTTGATACATCTCTTCTATATTAGGCTGGTTGAGATCTTCTTTGAGAATTTTGTTTGAAAGATTGAATGGGGCTCCTATAGTGGTTCGTAAGCAAATCCTCATGAAGGCATCTATTCTTTTTTTATCCGTAGGTGTGATATATTTGCCCCAGACTGGTAGTGCGTACTGCGCACTGGTAGTGCTGGACATTGGTTGATTTTGTGGGATCTACCACAATTTCTGCAGTTTTCTATTATTTTGTGACTTTGGTTAGTGGTATTTTCTTTCCTCGGCTCTTTTCTATCTTCCCACTTCTTACTGTTCATCTTTGTCACAGCAACTTGTTTGTCTGAGTCGGATAGTACATGTTTCATTTGGTTTGTGGCATTTTCACATGCTATGCAAATTTGTGTGGCTTTTTCCAGATTAAGGTCAGCCTCACTAAGAAGTCTTTCTCTTATTTCATTGTTAATAATTCCTACAACTATTCGATCTTTAAGTAGTTCATCAGACATGACAGAATATTTGCAGTTTGCTATCTGTAATTTAATCCTAGTCAGAAAATCATTAAATGATTCATCTTCTTTCTGTTTCATCTGATTGAATTTGAATCTTTCAATTGTAGTGTTCAGCTTTGGAGAAAAATAGTTGTTGAACTTGTCTTTTACAATGCTCGGATTATTTTTATCTGCATTATTTAAGTTGAAAGATTTAAAAATATTTTGAGCCTCTCGTCCCATTGCAGCCATAAAGATAGCAACTTGTACCTCTGGTGCTTTACTACTTAATTGGGTAGCAATTTCATACCATTCAAAGCTTTCAAGCCAAGATTCCCAGCCCTCTTTGTTTAGTTCATTTAGGCCTATTTGTTTTGGAGGTCGAATAGCATTTTCCGCCATGTTGTTGTTATTGTATTTTTTTTTAAATACACTTATTTCTTCTTGCTTGTAAATTAAATTATTTTGTATATATTATTATGCAATTTGAATTCTATTTGAACATGCAATTAGAGATGTTCTGAAATACTTTAAGAAATTGGAAATTAATAAATTGTTCTTACCACGTGGTGTTGTTTACAAGCGCCGCTGCCACCATGTAACGTCCTCGTATTTGTTAGTTGACGTTAATCAGCAAGAAGTACTTGGAAGTTTAAAAAGAAAAGACTTTATTTCTTTTAGGCCAACATCAGATATAGCATATTAATTATCGGACATATGTTTACATGTGATCTATATTACAACAAGTCAAAAGGCAACTGCACAGAGTATCATCAGTGATAAATATGTGCTCCCTGATAATTTACTATATAGGCATGCCAGCTGCCGTTACATATACTGTTACAATTTCAGCCAGATTACTTATGCATTGAGGACTGTATAGCCGTCAAACATATATACATACTTACATTGACTTATAAATATAGAGATATTTGATGTATGCGTTCAACCTTTTTGCGCTTCAAATTTTGTTTTACACATTTACCTAATACTTTCTTTAAAAAAAAAGTACAATAATTGAGAGAACATTATTTCTCATACAATCTAATAATTTTTTAAGAAATGGATTTTTCAAATTTTCAAATATTGTTTTCAATGTTTTGTGAATAAAAATTATATACAAATGAAATTATACACGCTATACATTTATATTATCAATAAATAACACACATCAAATATTTATGTTTAAAAAAGCCAATTATTTATATTGATAACAGACAAAAAATCTTTATATTGAACTTTAAAGTAAAAGAGATATTAAATCGAAATAGCTCAGTTGGGAGAGCATTAGACTAATCATATAAAGTTCTCTGGTTCGAACTTGGGTTTAGGCATCTTATTATTTAAAATAATTATTGATTTATTGACCCGAAAAGACTGCGTTACCGCGTGACTGATCACCAAGGCTATAACATAAAAGATTTTATACGAAGATAACTTTTAAAGTATTATGATATCAATAAAATAAAATTTAAAAAACATTTTAAAAAAAGGTATATTTATATATATATAGTATTATAAAACGTTCACTATTTAGATCATTCTTTTAATTTATTATTTTTAATTGAAGAATATCTGGTTCGTTACCCTAAGTTGTTTTTTTAGGAAAAGCGTATGACGTGTAAAAGCCAATTTAAAGCTGGTTCCATTGTGTGTTAAAAAAAAATCTTGCCGTTTATCATTTTAAATATTTATTGATACATTCAGAATATTTACCTCAAAAGTAAAAATATAAACTTCCTTCTATTCACATTTTGTTTTTCTTTTACTCTTCATTATTTTCTATTTATTTGTAGTTAAAGCCATATATATTGCTTATCTAATTTTATACAGTGTGTTTATAGTATTTGCTAAATTTTGAAAGTGTTATAAATAAAATTATTGTATTAAAAGTAGAAAAAGGTGTGAAAAATATTTCAACATGAATATTTGTAGAATAAAAGCTAATATATATTCCTCTTATGTTGATGTTGTAAATTATTTTTTAAATATTATATATATATATCATTATATATAAATCTATATAATAATATTAATATATGTAATAAAAAAATAAATGATATTATATTTTGAAAATTATATAATCGAAAATAATTCGGTTATTTTTCAGGGGGGGGGGGGGGTATTAATTAATTTCTAAAAATAAATTTAAACCGCAAAAATAAATCTATAAAAATGTAAGCGGAAAAAAGTAATGTGTGTTCCTCAAAATATAGATAAGGTTATTCAATAAATATTCTTCCCTTTCCACAAGTTTAAATTAACTTCCAAAAGATTTTTCATTTTTGTGGCCGGAAAGTTGGGTTCAAGATGGCCGAGAATGAAGCAAACGATAACGTCACAATAACATCAGCAGGAATCCAGACACGTTTAGATCGAACCTAATGCTTACTCCATTTCTTCCATTTTCGGATCCTACTAAAGTGTTTTTTAATGATGATTTTCCCCTCTTCACAATCTTTTTTCCACCCGGGAAAATTCTTTTCCCCAGCTGTTGTTGAATGAAATAAGTAAAACACACGTTGAATGGTCGAATAGTTTCTCAAGAAAATATTTGTATAATTTATTCTAAATTTTTACTTCCATATTGGTGATTAAATACGGATTAACGGAAATATTTTTAAAACATGCGAAATTTTGTTTTGAATAGAGTTTTACCAAAGTGATAAAAGTGCATATTAATTATATCAAGTCTAATATTATTTTTAATTAAAATCAGGTCGTCACGGGATAAAGTATTTGGAAAATATCTGACACAATACTGTGATTATTCATTATTTCAGTTTCACGTTCGAAATATATGATAATTAATTCGTTATCGGAATAAAGTGACTATTATGTTTCCGCAGTTTGTGATATCTCAGAATGAAAACTTTAACACCAAATAAAGTTAGGTCTCGAAGGAGTCGCTGAAATAATTTCAACCAAGAATTACGGATTTTATTCCGATAAAAGTCATTTATTTTATCGTAATATATTAATAAATTCTAATCTCCACTAGTACTACTCTCTACTACTACGACTAATAATAAAAATAGAGACCTTTGTTAAAACGCTATTGGTTGAGCGAACATACACTCAGGCAGAACGCGGGTGAAGCCAGTCATTTGGTTATTTATAATTTGATATTGCTGAAGACGCGAGGGGAATTCATTCCATGACATTTAAATTATATTGACTATGTACTGTTTAACATTTAGTTGTTTGTATGTTAAATGTAATTCTACTGTCCTAAAAGCTTATGTCCATAGTTTGCTTAAATACCATTTCTAAGATTCCACCCTTCAGTGTTGCATATAAAAGCAGAATGATACAATACGGTATTAGAGATATAAAGTAGCGGTCTGGTAGTTTAATAGGCGAAACCACTGAGAGGGTTCACCACTGATGAACCAAGCCTTCCCAATATATTTTAATAGCAGTAAGGACAGTAGAAGTTTGATATATTTGTGAAACGAAACTTTCGCGTTATGGTTTTTACATTAGTATTATTTAGTTGTTTGTTTTGTCAAAAAATATCCGAAAATATACGGGGCCTTCTATTAATTTCAAATAAAGTAAAAAATAGCTTAATAATCTAAAGACTATATGATTGTCACGTATTAAATTGGATAGATAGACAACAGGTTGTGTTATCAAGCTAATTTATTTCGATCAAATCAAGTAAACCCTTATTTAAATCAAATTGGAGAGGTTAGATTGACCGAATCTAGCTAAGCTCGCCTGGCGGCGCCACCGCCGGTGAGAAGTGGTACGCCTCCGTAGTTGATGACGAAGAATCAGAGGTGGTGCGCATGCGCGGCGGAAAAAAGAAGCAGAAAGAACTTTTACCAAGAAGGGAAGCGACGCCATTTAAACGCTCGTCAAACATTTTCATATTTAATCCTTATGTTTTAATTAAAATACCTAAATTTAATCCAATGTCAATCTTAACTTATCCAAGTTAAGTTCCCTATTTTGAACATATATTTAAGCAAGTTTTTCTACCAAAATGTTTATAAATAGTGTTTTTATTTACCGATAAGTTTTATTACATCAAAGATTTTTCTAAAAGTTTGAATACCAACAAGTTTTATAATCTATAAGTTTGATTACCAACAAGTTTTTTCATCTATAGATTTTATTATCACTAAGTTTATTATCTTAAAGATTATTTATCAAAAGTAAGATTTTTTACCTATTAATTAAGAACAAGTCAAAGTTATTTTTATCATTTATCTACAACAAAAATATTAGAGAGAAATATGCTGAACAACAAAATAATCAATATTGATATTTTTCTTTAATAAATAATAAATATTTTATCAAAATAGAACAAACGCGAATTTTGCCGGAATAATGTGATATCAAATTAAGAATAATTAATAAATAAAATTTTACCTTTCAAAAATCTTTTATTTAATTGCTTTAAAAAATAAAATATTTTATAGCTTCTCCCTTAGATTCATAAGAGTAAAAATAAAAGCGGCGGGGAAACGATCATCATGAATATTGAACTAATGTGCTTTAATAAAAAGCAACTAATTAGCGATATCAATGTGTGTTTACTAAATATTTACATTTTCTCTCAATATTTGTTCGTCCCCGCCTGTTTTATATTTTCCTATATAAATATATTGCTCAATGGCAGAAGCTAAAATATTTTGTTTTATTTTTGGTGTATTCAAATATAAGCTTTTTTTAAGAAGCATTTTTAAAAAAAATATTAATTATTCATTCAGTTTTTACTCATGAATTAAAAAACTTAGAATTAATGGAAAATATATTCTAAATTTCATCAAATATATAAATATGCACATCAATATTAATATTGAAAATATTGATCCAGTATATATTATTTATCAAAACATTCACACACTATGATATTAGAATATATATATATATATATATATATCCTTCCTTATATCTATAAAAATGAAATCCAAAATCGATGTTTGTTATCGCGTTGCGCAAAATCTACAGAATAAATCTTTATGAAATTTCGCATGTAGGTAGCTGAAGATTTCGTTTAACATATAGGCTATTTAAAAACTAAAAAAGTTAATGTGCTTTTTTTTTTTAAATAAAATACCAAAAAGCGTTAGTTCCAACCTTTTACCGCTTGGGCGCAGCACTGGTCGCGACGATAAATGAATTTGATTGGTTAATAATTAACACGTGGTTTGTTTACACGATGAATGTTAGTTTAGACGAAAAGACGAAATATAGAAGAAGAAACTCTTCTTCTATATTTCGTCTTTTCGTCTAAATATTTCCAAGAAGAATATTATAATAATCGTTATCGCTAATGAATGTTAGTTTGTTCACACGATGAATGTTTTTAAAAGGTAAGATTATCCAATCGCCGTGAAACTTTGGGAAGTTATTTACTATACTACTGGGAAGATTTCTGGTTTGAATTTGATTTGAAATAAATATTCTTTGCAATTTTATTTGCAAATTTTCTACTTTCACTCGCAAGCAGCGCCTCTAGCGGCGTCTGGTGAAATTATATTTATAAATTGTAACAATGCTAAAAATGTTTTCCAAGTATAATAAATTTAATTTGAGAATTTAGTAATATAATATTCCAATGACGTAAAAAATACTTGGCATTTCAATATTAATATATATTTAAAGAAAAAATTGTAACGTTTTTGTGTTAAATGTTAAAAATGTAATGTTGATATATAATTTTACATTGTTAATTTAATTTGCTGTTGTTTTATAAAAATGATGATGCAACTTTAATTGTTGTTGTGAAAATATCTTTATTTACGGAGCTGCTAACCATAATAAATTATTTTTGAGCCCCTAATTGTTGTTGTTTATTATCGTTTGTTTATATAAAAAAATTTACATTGAATGTGATGATGATAACAAAAAAGAATTTTTAAATTAATATATATAATTTATTGAGAAAAAAAGAAATAATTAATTATCAAATTCACAAAAGTGACAATATCTTATTTAAAATATAATAAATGTTTTCAAAAAATTATGTGTTTCAAAAATATATTTAAACGCATATAACAATATTTATATTTATATACGTTTATAAATCAATATATAGGTGGATTGGATGTTTTCTAGAATCGTTTTAACAAATGTTCGTTAGGCAAACTTTTACTCGGATAAAAACTGTGCGAAGCCGGGTACATTCGCTAAATACAGTTATTTATAAATCTTCGTTTGTGGCAAGATACTATTCCTTCAACTTCAAATTACCGAGTGGACCAATTAATACTGATTTTTTTCAACTTATCGAGTATTTTTCAAGAGACCGGGAAAAAATTATCGAGAGTGTAGACAAGTATAGATTCAGTAGGGATTGGATGTTTGCTAGAATCGTTTT